CCGCCCGCTGTGGCGGGAGCTGCGGGCCCCTGGCGGCTCTCTCGGCTCCCCCTCGGGTTCCCCCGGTTCGGGAAACCCCCCTGTGCACCGCGCTAGGGCGCTCCGCTGCGGATCCTGCCGGCGCCGGAGCTGCTCGCCTCGGCGATATGTAATTATCACCCTTTGGATTTTTTGTTTGTTTATTTGACTTTTTTAAAACATATAAGGGGTCATCCATTTCTAGGTGAATGGATACATCCTAGAAAAATGGATTTAGGACAGAATGAAGTAATTTATTGCTCCAGGCTGACTTGGCAGAGGCAGTGACGGGATGTTTATCTTCAACACAAGAGAATGAACGTTCATATTTTAACCAGATTCATTTCCAAGAGAGCAAACACTGTGATACCATTTTCTTTCAGTATGCTTTATGGATGGTCTTGCCGCAGGACCCCCCTGGGCTTTCAGATTGGCCCCATTTGTGATTTGCAGTTGTGTTCCAAACAGAACCAGATTCTCTATTCCACCTAGTCATGTCCTAAGATTGCAATATTCAGATGTATATTTGCGCTGCAAGAGTTCCTGCTCCATTTCTGCTACTGGCTGGAGATTGTGGACCATATACCGAAATTACTAGTATGTATGCTATATTCAACTGTAGTCCTCCACCACAGAAGCTAATAGAAATGGTGCAACTCATACTATTTAGTGTGACTTGAAAAGATCTGCCGCAATTATGTTTGTCTGTATTCACTGAATAACCCACCTTCTTCTGGTGCTTATCAGTGTAAATACACACTTGGTTTCAGTGCTAAATCTGTATGATGTCTTAAAGCATGCTAATCTGCAATTTTGCAGATTATTGGGTAGCATTTTCTGTCTTGTCGGGGCCATTAATCCTCATGTGAATTTTATGAGAGTGATACCAAAACAAACAAAAAAAAAGAAAACAGAGTATTTTGCCTCAAATTCCTGTGCAAACTGTAATGGCGCAGCTCTTTGGGAGACCTTCCCACAGGCATACAGAACAAAATGCCATACACCACTCCAGCTGTTCTGATTTTTTCATTATGTCAAATGGCAAACTGTGTTTGAAGCTACATTTGAGTCTGCTGGTATTTCTGACTTACTCTCCTGCTTTGCCTGCAGATGGCTACACAACCGATGACATAGAGTTCTACTGGAGAGGTGGAGATAATGCAGTCACTGGCGTGGAGAGGATTGAGCTTCCTCAGTTCTCCATTGTGGAATATAGACTGGTGTCAAAGAATGTTGTCTTTGCCACAGGCAAGTATTGTCATTTGCCCACTTAGTGTTTACTTTCCTTGTGTATGACAATTACTGTTTTATTAATCATAATTAATCATTATTAATCATACTTATATATAGTCTGTGTTGTGTGTTTGGCTAAAGAAATTACTTACTTGATAAAGCCTGGAGACAGGAGTCCATGAAATAGCATTTCTTGTTTATCTTTCTTTTTCTTGTGTGTGTATGTGTGATACTTAACCAGCCACCTAAATATCTATGATCTAAACAAATATGAAGTCATTCACCTCTGAATCATCAGTTTAAATGTAGCCTACAGGGTTACTGATCATACATAAGTGTATTTTGGCATACCAGGTCAAAATGCCACCGTTTTTATGAACACCTCCCTGCAACTTTTCAGTGCATATTTTTTTTGTTGTTGTATAGTGAATGTAATGTCTTTTATATCTTTATTTGCACTGATGGGTATATAGTACTGTATACATAGCCAGGGCTTTTGTCATCATTGTTAAGATGCTAAAATTAAATCCCTGGGTTTTCTGCTTGTTTCCTTGAAGATGTAATAAAAGTTACTGGTAACTCACATCATGAGTTATGCCTTCAGGTGACAAAGCACAATGTTGATTTACGTTTTTAATGTTAGACACCAGCATAGGAAAATGTTGTTATGTGTGACAAGACCAAAGCAACACAGAAAGCCGTCAGCAAGTGTGGGGCTGCTATTTGGGACCTCCAGATTTTCAGTACTCTTCAGACCACAGGAGTGTGCTGTTCCATCTGTCCCAGTGTACTAGAACAAATGAAGCACAGCTCTATTATGTTTGTAAGCATCACTTCACCCACTCTTTGGACACAGCATCTGTTTCAAAGTACACAGAAACGCAAGTTGTATTTCAGAACAAAATGTAAATATTGCTGGGATTGAAATTAATATGAGGGGGTTTGCCAACTGCTGCTGTTCTTGTTTATCATTGTGAATGGAAGGGTGGGGTTTTTTTTAAAGAGAAATCAATACCCTAATCCTATATCCTCCATTCTGCAGCCAGCGTCACCTTTGGCAGCCAGGGCTTACCTGCCCCTCCACAAGACTGGACATACTTTTGTGGAATGGCTCTTTGGACAACAATGAGAATACAGAGAACTTATTTGGGAAGTTTTTATGACAGTCCAAAGCCACCCTTTAGTTCCATATGAAATACTTCAGTAAAGACATGATTTTTACTTTTTACTTTAGCCTAAATTCAGAGATGAGAGAGATTTGTTAAATTCAGGAAAAAGAGAAATCCAAAGGGCTGTGAGTCAAATATGAGAGAGAATGAAAACTGGGAGTAGACATTTATATGACTGACCAAATATTCAGAATCATAACAGTTCTTTCCAAAAAACCTTGTGGAAGGAATAAAAAAGTCTTGTACTTCAGGGTTTAAGACAGCTTGACATTAGGGAGTAGGATGAGACAGTCACAGAGAACAGATTACTCCGTGTTTTTTGTACCATTTTCTGAAGCATATAATGTGTGTCACTGATGAAGACACGATACTGCATTTACTATTATTTTGGTACAGGACATTATGAAAATGCTTGATTAATTATGAAATTTAGTGACACTTATTTCCATGCAGGGGAAACATCACAATTGTTTCTGAAGACCACGTATTTAATTGTAAATCCAAAGCATGCTAGTGAATCTGATGGATAAAGTCAGCATACTCTTTTCAAATTTCTTCTCAAGACCCTACTTTCTTATGGTCCTAGTAATTAGGGCCAGTTTCTACATTTTTGTGGAAAATAAGTAAGGCATGCTTTTTTTTTTTTGGCTTTGAGGTTATTGATGTCTCAAGGGAAGATATTAGTTCTTTGAGAGCCGTATCTCAGTGAACATTTCAGAGATTTCAGTACTAGTGTGCTTTGATTGTATAAAACTAAAAGAAGACTTCAGAGTCATGCCATAAACAGCTTTTGGAGTAGTTATTTCTCCTATCCTCCGTGAGGAACAGTGCTGTATAATCTTGTGTAACTTATGCAAATGGAAAAACCTGTTCCCATAGTTACTACTGAGAAGCAGCGGTAAGCATGAGAAAAACCCCATAGATAATGACATAAAGCTGTGCGGGGCTGCAAGAATACTGAAGGAACTGTATGCATGTTGAAGCATAGCATTGGAGTTGAAAATGATCTTGCCAAATCAGCAAAATTGGTCTGAAAAGAAGTATAAAAGTCAGTATGGACAAGTGCAAAATACAACATTTATACAACTAATTATTCCTATCCAAATTCAGGACAGGGAATACCAGGTTAGGCCAGAGTTCTGTGTGTAGAAATCCAGGGGCTACTATTGATCTCAGACTGAACGTGAGCCAATTACATCTTCTTGGGGGGAAAAAACCCCCAAAAAACCCAAAATCCTACAAGGAGTCTGACTTGCATTGCTAAGGCCTGAGCTGCGTATTTGTGGTCATGGGTAGTACTCTTCAAGACAGTCATGGAGCAATAGAAGGGGGTCTAGGGAAAATTAGCAAGTAGGAAGTCTAGAAAATGGAATACATGAGATAGCTGGAGAGCCAGGTATGATTGTGTACTTTAAAAAAAGAGAACACTTGATGGGAAATAAAGTCTTCAAGTGTCTAGAAGGCATCGGCAAAGACATGGGGAATAGCCTGTTCTCTTTATCCATGACGGAAAGAAGAGAAAGGAGTATTTAAATTGCTGTGAAGAAGAAATATCTGGTTTGACTATCCTTCTAACACCAGCCGAAGGCCATACAGGCTACCATAAGATATCTAAAATGGCACTGGATACCTAAGTGTCAGTAGCTGAATTAAGCTCGTAGTCAAATGATATCAAATCAGTGCTGTCAGTGGAGCCTAAAGAGCTATTCAGCGCTTGAACACCTCTATTCTGTCAAGTGAATAGCTCTTAGGACACTATTCAGTTGCCTAAACAATAGGTATCTGGTGCCTCAAGATGCTGTAGAGCATCCTGCTTAGCAGTTAGGCTGCTGTTCCAGAGTCTTACAGTCTTGTGTCCTATGTACCAATCTAGTGCTTCAGTATTAATTACTTAACTAGTATTAAGTTCTACTCTTCAGTAGTCTAAGGCATCTTAAATAGCATTAGACACCTCTGTATAGGCAATTAAATCACACCCTTAGAATCAGCTGGCTGTAAGTCTAGATCTCCGTGGTTTACACTGAGAGCTTATGTGTCATCCATGTGTAAATATCTGCATGGAAACACCTGAAATTTAGTGCCTAGACCTGTGAGCTGAATCCACCTCCTAAATGTTTGTTATCCAGAAATGCTAAAAAACTGAACAGGAATGGGGATATGTAAAACACCACCTAAAAGCTTCAAGATGCATAGCAGTCAGAGTGAGATTAGCAACAAGTTGGTAAGAGGAGGGTAATCTTAAAAGATGTGAAAATTAATTATTTGCTGTATTCTGAAAGATCAATCTGTAAAGTACATTTCCAATTAGCCGAAGAACCTTCCCAGAAGAACAGATTAAAATAAGAATTCTGTAACTGACCAACTCTGTTATCTTGGTTCATACTTGGGTAAAACAGCAAGAGACTAATTTAGCCTTGGAGCTAGATATTTCAGCTTCCTAGATTTTAATGAAATTGAAACAGAAACAAGTAATTACTTTTTACTAAGTGCCCAAATATATGAAAGAGGAATATTTTGAGCTCAGTTATTGATTAAGTATTTGTTTTCATGCCTGCATTCTCAATACTATTGTTAGATTTAAATACTTCAGGCCAAATTCTATTATTCCTGTACTATTTAAATTAGCTCATAAACATGAACATGTTATATGAGATGGGAGAAAGGGTAACAAATCTGGTCCCTGAACAGCAACACTGTTCTTTAGGCAAAAAACAAATTTTGATGGAATGTTAACAACTAGAATTTCCTGGTAATTAATCTTTAAATGTACTGAGCCTTAATTGACAAATCATTATCCAAGCATAATCAGGCAAGTAACAGTGTAATTGTTGAGCTCACCAAGAAAACTATTTTTATTAAACAAATTACACAAGATGGTTCCTTCTTAGATAAATAAAGATCTGGGCTTACAATCTTTGTTCCATGCTGGTTAGGACCCATCCTTTTCACTGAGCTTTGGCCATCCAGACAAAGAGGGGGAAGTAAGTAGGGGAAATAAGGAATGTTCCTTCTTTTAATTCTTTTTTTCCACAGATTCCTGTGGTCTCTTTGCTGGGGGTGAGATAGAGCAGAGATGGCAGGCTGGAGGCAGGGCCAATAGATCATCTGTGAAGGCATAAAAGCAATACAGGTGAAAGTGATACAAACTTTTGTCGTCTCAGGGAGAGCTACCTAAAGGAGAACTCTGTCTGCATAGTATGAAAAAACAAGGCTACCAGTTCATGTTTCAGTTTCAACCTGAACTATACAAAGACCAAATTATTCTGAAATGTCCCGAGATCCAGACCTCCCAATAAAATTTGAGCCTGGAAATCACAACAAAACAGGATGACATTCTATTTACCTCTGTGAAACTGAGCAATGTGTCAACTCCAGGAAGCAGCCATGATGCCAGCAAGACTTTTGGTTAGATTGCCCAGGAGCCGCAGACCTTCAAAACCTACCCTGAGACTTGCAGGGCTGGGATTCATCTTGCTCTGATTTAAGGTGAATATAATTTCAGTGTCTATATATGAACTAGGTGTCTTAGTTGATGGGAATCTACTCAATACAGTCTGTGGAGTCTGGAGACAAATTCAGTCCACCAATAGGAGTCTATTTTAGGAGAAGATGGATAATTCTCTAGGTTTCGTTTACTAGATTGACTAGATGAACTGACTCTCATGTAAATGTAATCGGAGCTTAAACACCTAGCTCATGTGTATGCAGTTCAAGTGAGTTGCTTTATCAACTGCTATTTGAGATGGCATAGTCTCAAATTTGAGATCAATTTGAGATCAGCCTTAGTCTCCAGCTGCTGATCAAAAAGATGTAGGGGCTATGTCATATCCACCAGCTGCGTGCTGGTGTCTGAGATGTCATAGGGCATCTCAAAAGGAACAGTGTACCTTCAGATTCACAACTGAATCTCTCTGTTACAGTCCAGCTCCAACTCTAGAGCAGGAAGACAGACAGCACTGACAGCCCTGGCCCTAGGTATGGTTCTTAGGGTTCTATCTTCTAGCTTCAGGACAAAGAACCTGGTGTTTGAAACAACTTTATGTTGACGTCTCTGGCCTTGAGGCAATCTGTCTGGAGAGTCCACCTCTAAGGCCAGGTCCCACTAGTTTCAGTAATTACCTTATCTCATTAGATGGAGATGGTGATGAGGTAATGGATGATGGTCACAGGTGAAGCATTCAAGATAAATGTTTAAACTTTGCTCTGTTACACTGTTTCTCAGTTCAGGATTTCGTTACTGAACATTACTGAAATACGTGACACGTTACTTCTCTCCACTGTTGACACACACCTCCTCCATCCACGCCATTTTCCCTGCTTTATCAATAGCAAAGTGCTCTCTTTCTTCTTTCTCTGAGGTTCCCCAATGCGTCCAGGGTCCTTGGCACTGGAGCAGCCCAAGAAGAGGCTTTGATTCAGTGATTCAGTTCCACTGAACCTTCTTAACTGAATCCTTCAGACTATTTATCAAAGAATCAGTATTTTATGGGAGATTTTCCAGTCATCACCTCTGTCAATGATACTCCACAGACACCCAAACCTGGACAGGACTTTTTGAAAGGAAGAGATTTATAGAGAATCCTTTACGTGGGTGGTGTATTATATGAAATAATTTTCCTCAACAGAGCTTTATAAAGATTTCTGTCTGATGCACTACTCTTATTGCAGAAAGGTGATCAGGTCTGCTACATTTTTAATGTATTTCATGATGGCAGGGTATGCTCCTGTTTTATTTACATAGTCTGCAGACACAAGGCCATGGAAACCCTTTCATAAGAAGCTCAATGAAAAAGTTAAGCTTTGTTAGCAAAAAAAGCAGGCATGGTTTCAAAGAGAGAATTTGTCTTTTGAGGTGAAACATTGTTCATTGGAAAATGAAGATGTTAAGCAAGCTAAAGTCTAAATGATTCTTTGCTGAAAATTATATTGACTGCTTTAGACAGCAGAAAACCTTGGTCTGATTTTCATGATGAAATAAATTCTTCTGACTCTACCAATATTCCTCTATTGGTGAAACTAGAAGGCATTTCATCGTGGAAAAAATTACTACTAATTGAAGTAATCACAGCAACCAAATAAATCTACCAGATACTTCTTTTTCCAGTGACAGTTCTTCTGAGATTGTTTGGTAAAACAGTTAAGGATAGTTGCATAAAGTTTGATACTCCCTGGATGCTTCTGCTGCCTGGAAACAGTGTAGCATTTTTTAAGTCATATGACTCAAAGTATACCTAACTATCAGGAATGTGATGAAGAGAAATCTGCAGTTTTCTATTCCTTCTTTTGCTTTCTCTCTCAGGAAATCCATCATTCTTGTATATATGGGCAAATGTAATTTCTTATGCTCATATGCGAACATATGAACATAATTTAAAGGGAAGTCTGTAATTTTTTTTTCTAGATGTAATCTTTCATATCTTGCACATACTTGCATTAGAATGGGAGGCATGTGATCTAATATCTAGTTGGGCCCTCAGTATGTTCAGAAAGGTTTTTTAGGATGTTGACTGTAACTAGACATTTTAGATGAGCTATTAGAAGTAACATATCTAAAACTAGTAATGCAAACACTGAAATCATGGAGCTAATGTTGTGCAAATGACTACCTTTTTCTTGTACAGCTGTACTCAGTTTTAATCCTCTTTGCATTTGGTGAAAGAAGTCACAATTTTTTTAACTGTTTGAGATTTCTAAATATATAAAATATATTCAGTAAGATTAACACCAATTTTGAAATACACCAGTTTGAAGTTAAATAATAAAATGCTTTGTTTGAAACATTGACATTGAGGTTATTTATTTTTTTCATTATTTTTTGCTCCAATTGTAACAATTCATGAATCCTATAAATATACTGTATATATACACACACACATATAAAATCATCTTTTTTTTTTGTGTAAAATATTTTTGGAAGAAAAATTCTGTCCAGCTCTAATTGATGTTAGAGGCCTTTGGATCTGGTCTGAAGGCTTTTCCTCACTGGGATTCATTACAATTTATTTTTGACACCACAAGTAGCATGTTTCTCATAGTTCAGATGTAATTAAGAAATGCCATCTCATGAACAACTCTTCCATGTAAATACAAAACTATGCACATTACTAATCCTCTCAATATAAATACTATACATAAAACTGTGTATTTGGATAAGCATTTTACTTGGAGACCTAAGCATCTGTTTTTTAAAACTAACTGGTGCTCACCCATCTGTTCAATAATCTAGAATAATTCACTCTCTCTTTTCTTCCCAAATACAAATTGCTTGGATATCACTATATTCACTGCAAGGTTTCTTTTAATACCAACCAGTAATACAGTGAAGGCATTTTCCCTACTGTTCTGCAGATGTCATACTACCTCATAAAATGTGCATGCTTTAGTTTCTACGGAAACTGAAGACAACTCTCTGCAAGTGTCTTTTCTTCAGTATAAATAACGCTGTTTTCCCCTCCCTTTCCTCAGGTGCCTATCCAAGACTCTCACTGAGCTTCAGGTTGAAGAGAAATATTGGATACTTTATTCTTCAAACCTACATGCCCTCCATACTGATTACCATTTTATCATGGGTGTCATTCTGGATCAATTATGATGCATCAGCAGCAAGAGTTGCCCTTGGTATGTGCTAAGAATGAGTGGGACATTAAAATGTCAGACTGAATGTAGGTTGTTAAAGTTAAACTAACTTCGGAGGTTGTTAAAGACTGCAACGTGATGTCAGTGTTTTGATATTCCAAAATCATTTACGTCAAAATCATGTCATTCAGTATTGCCTCAAAAGTGATGTTTTCCCCTGCGTACAAGAAAGTAGCTACCACTAAATCTCTGACATGAGCTGCTCATACAGGTCCCAGCCTTGTTCTCATCAAAGTTACTGTTGTTGTGAGTAGCTTCAGCAAGGGGACCAGCTCCAGAATCATACTCCAAGGGCTTGAGCATGGGCTTTTAGTCCAGCTCAGTGTGGGAAGACAAGTGTGGCTCCAAGCCTGCTCCTGAGGTCCTGGGTGCTTTAACTGACAGTGGCAGGAACAAACTTCAAGAACCATGTGCTCATTCAGAGCGCAGGGGCATGTCAGCTACGGACCATGACATCCCAGCTCACCCTCAGAATGCGTGGTATGCTAAGTGCATTTTTATGACAGCTTAGAGTGCCGTTTACCTCATGGCAGAAAAACATGGATTTGACACAGATTGGTGATCCCAGTCCAAGACCTTTTCAGATCAAAGTATTGTATAGATAAGCGAAGGTGGCTTCAAAATATCTCACAGGAAATATTTCGTCTGTTACAGAAGCATACTCAGGGATAGCTAGAGACAAGGAATATTAAATGGATCCATAAATAATCCTTATGACTACTGCTGCCTCTCATCTCATCCCAAATCCTGTCTTCAACCCTGTGCTTCCCAATAGCACATACCTTCCTTCCCAAAACTTGACAGTAAGCCTATGCTGTATAACTTCCTAGTATGCTCTCTTCCCTTCTTAAAACAGACACATATTCCCTAGTTCCCTTATTTTTCTGATGTATACCACAGCAAACTGTGACTCCAACCCATGCCCATGAGGTTCCCCTTCTCTGTACCTCCCAAGATCCCACATACCAAAGCAGGCTGGGCAGCTACACGTATACCTTTATGCAATGTAATATTACATCCTAGCATCTGAACTTGGATAACTGAAGATATTGTAGATTAACTGCAGTTACTGTACAGTAATTCTACAGATACTGTGGATTAGCTGGTGCATATGGGCCTGACACAATCTGGCATTACCACTCAGCAGCT